TTGTTGGAATCGGGCGGCGAACTTGTTGGAATCTAGCTGCGAACTTGCCACGTAAAATGTCTACATGTTGAACATTATTATTTTTTTGGGCTATGTCTTGTGATTGTTTCGTATGATTATGTTTCAAACCTATCGATTTGATATTATTGTAATGGCTGGTGAACGGTACGTTAGACGATTGAAATAATAGATTGTGACAACAATAGTATAAAAGTGATATGATGTGTTGTGATGTAATGTGATGCAGTCGTAACTCCCTTTCTTGAATTTGCCATCACAGAGACTGATGGAGTCAAAGTGTTAAGTTTGGCAGTGTGAATCGAACATTCAAGAGTGTATTTATTACCCTACACGAACTAATACGTTTTCATATTAAACTATTATTATTATTACACGCTCCACCACTTGTGACACAGGGTATATTAATTTAGTGCGGTCGTAAGTAACAGTCGGCATGGCTTAAGTTAGACCCACCTTTTATTATCGATCGATTCAGAATCATAAGCATGTCTGTCCGTTTGATATTTGCCTATGTAAATTTTTGTTCAAACTTCAGCTCACAATTTTTGAGATATTTCGATGAAATTTGCTACAGTTACGTGTTTTGAACGCTATTGAAAATGGTTCGGATCGGTCCACTTTTTCGTCCACTCCCCATATATAAGCCCTATTCTAAACAATTGTTATGTAGACAAAAAGTGCAATTTTCAAAATTACTCAGCAAAAGTGGCTAATTAGTAGTGTTTAATAGGTGCTTGCAATACTTTTAAAATGCATTTCTGTATTGTTGCATAGCTTCTAGCAATTTGATGATGGGTTTTTATTAGCAAAAGGCATTAGAATCTTCTAAATTAAAAACTCGGGGTTTTGAAAGACTTCGATTGACTTGAGCGACTTAGAGAATCCAAGGCATATCATTTCGATCCACAACTCTCAAAAAATGCCGATATATTTTAAAAGAAGTTCGCTAGAGATGGAAAGAAAAAAAGTTTTTATATATTTATTTGTTTATTTATTGACACTTATGCAACCTCGAAGCCATTACGGCAACAGATTGCGTTGTTTATCGCAGCTGCAATAATAAAGTACAATAACACAAAAATATTCTTAAACAATCTAAAGGAGAAGAGAAGTGAAACAAATATAAAGAGAAAAAAATGGGAAAGGATTAGGTAAAGCAACCAAGTATGAAAGAAAATTACACTAATCACAGTCACACTTCCATCCCAATACTAAGTAACTACCTAATCTCATTGTTATTGGCGAAGGTTAAGTGAGATAAGTGTATCTAAATTGTCGCAACTCCCTAGGCAGGGAATTATAAGCTCTTGTAACTCCTACCTGAAGGGCTTTGATCAAAAAGCACATAACTCGAGGAATCAAGAGAAGATTCTTACGAACTGATCTACTAAAAGAAATGAGATTAAAATAGTCATTCGGCTCCTGTCATAGGATGATGTTAGAAAGTTTAAGAGGAAGTCCGACTTTAATGAAATTTGCGAAGGAACCACCAAGAAAACGTAGAATGTAAGCTGAGACATGGTCGTGCCATCTCAAGAGAAATACATATCTAATTAAAGAATTAGATACAATTTAATGAGATACAGATTAATTTGCAAATGTCTAACACAGGATCTAAAAAAATCGGGATGAACATGAATTATAGAGGAATGCGAGTTTCCTTTAATTTTTTTTTTAAACATCTCGCTTTAAGGAGTTTGCAGAGCTGTCAGATCTCTCCTCGTTTGCTTGATCGAAACGTCACAAACTTTGCACATTCTCGGCTTAGGCATATAGGCATACAACAGAGAACCATTCAAGAGACTCAAGTATAGGCCCCGAAATTTTTTCAGCATATACACGATGGCTACGGTAATGTCTGCTGTTCTCGTAAGAGACAGGGTCAACTGGCCCTTTAGTTCATTTCAATATCGCTTTGTATATAGCAAAATCAAATCGTATTAAGTTCAAGTTTTTCAATAACTGAGTCATATATATCGACATGATTGCTTTGTATGCGTTAGAAGCATTGCCAGTAGTGGATAAGTTGGATTGTGTGTGAAAAGCAAAAGGGAAAGACATTAAAAACACAGCTCTTCTTTGGAAAAGTTAAGGATGTTAATGTTTGTGTGTGGGTTGATAAGTTTTTCCCAAAGCTTCAAGTATTTTGGATGCGTAATTACTGTTTGAATCGATATAAGAGAACTTTCGTGAAAATCGAAAAGGTTAAGCATTTGTTTTTGAAAGCGAGCGATACGCCTACGCAAATGAAGGACGGACTGGACGCTGGGTGCGGGAGTTTTTCATCAGTATTGACGACGGTGAAATTTTTTGTCGCTGAATTAAAACATTCTCGGACGAGCTTTTTTATCAATAAACATTCGAGGCAACTAAGAACCGTAATGACTTACGGAAATAGCATTCAAATGCAACAAAAAATGCCGGGCGATCGTCGAAGAACGTCTTTGTTGTATATTGCATCAAGACTTAGGCATGAGAAAGCCGATTGCACGTTGGTTATCGCATTTGTTCACAGGCAGGGTAACAAATCGATAACGGCTACAATCGTAAATGGAATGAATGGCAGTTCGATTTGCCACTTTGTCCAATTCCCCGGACCTAACCCTCAGCGACTGTTTTGTGTTTGATAAATTTCAAGAAGGTAGACAAGAGGGAGAAAGCGTTGTTTAAACCGCAGCGTACTTCGAGAGTCTTAACAAACAATTCCCCAATCCGTTGCATCGATTCGAATCATTCTTCAAGGAGACTTTGCCGATGTCGAATTTACGTCGAATTTAAGTAAAGAAATTGTTTTGAAAATAGTTTTGTTCTCGCTTACTTCGGAATCTTTACAGTCAATCCTCGCAGGCAGCGTGAGAATTTATCGATAGTTCTTATGGGATTATGGTTTGGATTTAGCGAGCAAAAGAAGGAGACGTTTTGCAGGCTATTTATGAAAACAATTTACGCATTGACAACTGAGATAAAGCCTTTGCTGACGCTAGATTTTAACCATAAATTTATGAATAGTAAGAGAAGCTTGCAGGCAGAAAGAGACGACGTCGAATATTAACCATGCGAACCAATGTTTTAATTTTGAAATGACTCTTTCTGTTGTAGCTATGCCCTTGTTGCTCTGAACATTGCCTCCCGCGCTTCTCTTTTTCCCTATACCCCCTAGAGAAAACGCCACGCAAAGAGTAAAAGTCTCGAATTAAGAGATAAGATGAACAAGAAATTGTAGGTGTGGTCTAACGCGATTGATATTCAAAGAGTCGTTATAAGACTTTCGTTAGTAGACTTGTAAAATGTCAACGGCTGCTTGAAATGAATATTGAAGCAGATATATTTTCTTAAAAAAAAAAAAATCTTTTTTAAAATTCTCGTTACTTTTTGATCAAGCCATATAATATTTGCAAACACTTATGTTATGAATATGATATAATAAAATATGCGAGTGCATAATTCCGATTTTCTAATTCGGATTTTGAAAAAAATTTCGAAATTTATATTAGAAATTTGTAAACTAATTATTTATATTCTATATATATATATATATGTATATCTTTTCAGAGTTATCATTCGCATACACAGCACAAACTATCTATTGGAAACTTGCACAAATTTGAAACTATTAAGCATAAAAAGAGAATGGACTCATCATTTACAAATGCATCATTGTGATTATATATATGTGAATATATAAATGTAAATAGATTCTAATTGAAAAGGACTAATCGCCCAAAAAGCAATCAAAGCAGAACAAAGCAAATAAAGTAGCATTTGATCATAAAAACGCTAACAACCACAACAATCTTTGTTTTACTCATCCGTGGCAACAACAGTTTACACAAGAAAAAGGGACACAAAAGAGCAAAAAGCCAAAAGCACAACTTTAAAAACCGCATAATATAAAGCTAAAAGAAAAAAGCAAAAAAAAAGGGGAAACAGAAGAAAAGAAAAGAAACCCAAAAAAAAATAAATAAAAATAAATAAATAAATAAATAAATAAGAGAAAAGAAAAAAGAAAAAAAGAAAACAAAGAAAAGAAGAAGAAGAAACGAAAAAGAGGAATTTATGTTTATGTTATCTTTTTGAAAGTTCTTCCATAGCATAGAGTTCAATTTAGACTGGCTCAAAACGAAGAAAACGGGGGCGCTGAGTCTCCCGACGGTACCCAAGAAGGTAGAGAAGCCTGCTGGTGGATTCCTTGGTCGGCTATGGGTTGCTTCGGTTCACCCAGCTCAAAACAATCTGATTTAAATTCAGAAGATACGAGAAGCCAAAAACGGCGCAGCGATGCAATATCTAAACAATTGCAAAAAGATAAACAACTCTATAGAGCCACGCATCGGCTGCTGTTATTGGGTGCCGGTGAATCTGGAAAATCAACTATAGTCAAACAAATGCGTATACTGCATGTGGACGGTTTTTCAGAGCAAGAAAAAAAACAGAAAATTGATGACATTAAAAAGAATATACGTGACGCTATTTTGGTAAGTGAATACCTCTATGAACCCAAAAAGGATAATAATAATGTTCCTTACACGTTACATACATAAAATACGAAAATTTGTGTAAGATTGCACTCGAAGACTGCTTTTATTAGCTCTATTCGAACTTGGGATCAATTTTTTACTCGAATCTTTCCAAACAATTGTGAATGGATTGACTCTTGCAAACTGATAGCCATCAAATACGATCTGTGTACCACCTTTACATTTCTAACTTGATTATTGCTACAAATACCGAAAGCAGGCATCAGCAGTTCGAACGTATGGAAAGCTCCCAAATTGAGAAGAGACGCAATATATATATAATTACAGAATCTCGACTCCTTATGTCTTTGGTATAACTAGAAACCTATCATCAATCATATTGTTTTTTATGCCCCTCATCGAAATGGGATGGGGGGGGTTGTTCGTTTTGTTGAAACGTTTGCATCACCCAGAAGAATGCTTCAGAATGCTACATATAGCATTCAGCAGCTAATACTAAATCGATTTAAGTATGCAAGTCTGTCCATCCGACCGCCTCTGTAATGTAATGTCTGTGGCCGTAAAAAGAAAGTTCCAAGTTTTTCGTTCCAAATTTGGTAGAAATATTGCCAATTCTTACAAGCAGATTAATATTGAAATTGAGTCAAATTGATCAAAGGATCGGCACACTGCACAACATAACTTGAGACCGCCTCTGTTTTCAAAAATCAAAAAAAATATTTGATTTTCTGCTCCAAACGTGATCTTGCAGCATCTATACAAGAATGAAAGTAATTAAGAACGCCCGCTTAATATTATAATATATGGAAAATTCATTCTTTTACCAAAACGTTTACCGTAACCAGAAGAAAGCGTCATTGATTCTATAAAGTCTACTTTTTATTGAAGTCTACCTTTTATTTGATGTACCTCAAACACTTCCAATGTAAACTTCCAATTTTTTTCTAGAAAAGTAGAGAAAATCAGCCAAACCCACCAGGACTAGTCAGCAGACCGGACTATGATAACCTTTTTAACCGCTGAAAGCGTTTCCTTAGCCCGCCTTAAAGTAAATAAGTGAGATCATAAACAATTCCATTCAAGCAGATCCTTCAAAGCAACAACAAGCGATAAACGTAGCGCACGATAGTATTAACAATACGACCTAACCTAGAAGAAATATAAGCTTTAGTACCAGAGGCCGTACAAAATATGCGGTATTGAGAGAGCGTAGGTCATTTTATATCTAATGCATTGAGGTATATATATATATCTTTATATGTATATGAAATTTAATCCCAAGAAACCGAGTAAAGCCCATTTGACACGAAGAACCGTCACTTCCTAAGCAAATTATTGAGTTAAAGTTTTATTGGTTCGAGAGTCAATGTAGGGATTTTTGTTTTTACATCGATATATTGAAAATGTGATGAGAATGCAATGAATATCCGTTTAACAAAGTGTTCCTTTTCTTATTTTATAGACTATTACTGGTGCAATGAGCACATTAAATCCACCTATACCATTAGAAAAAAAAGAGAATGAAGCCAGAGTTGAATATATACAGGACTATGCTTCAGGTATAATTATTTTAAAATTATTTTCCCTAAAATAATAAAATTTCATTAATATCTAATTTTTCATGGGAACAGGTCCAGATTTTAATTATCCGCCAGAATTTTATGAGCACACAGAAGAATTATGGAAGGATAAAGGTGTTTTAGCGACATATGAACGGTCGAATGAATATCAATTGATTGACTGTGCAAAGTAGTAAGTAAAAGAACTAAGAAAATAAAAAAAATAAATAAAATAAAATACCATAAATAAATAAATAAATGAAAGAGAGAAAACTTATTTTATTGTATTATTAACATATCTTATTATAGCTTCTTGGATCGAGTTAGCATAATAAAACAACCAAATTATACACCAAATGAACAAGACATACTAAGGTGTCGTGTTTTAACTTCTGGTATATTTGAAACACGATTTCAAGTTGACAAAGTCAATTTTCAGTAAGTCATTCATAAAAATTTTAATTAATTAATATTTTTAGTAATTAAATATTTTTTTTTTTTTTTTTTTTTATAGTATGTTTGATGTAGGAGGCCAACGGGATGAACGTCGCAAGTGGATACAATGCTTCAATGACGTTACTGCAATTATTTTTGTAACTGCATGCTCTAGTTATAATATGGTTTTACGTGAGGATCCAACACAAAATCGTTTACGTGAATCTTTGGAATTATTTAAAAGCATTTGGAATAATAGGTAACCAAAAATATATATTCAGCAATTCATTGATTCATTGATTCAATCGCTATTACAGATGGTTGCGTACAATATCCGTAATTCTCTTTCTTAACAAACAAGATTTGTTAGCAGAGAAAATAAAAGCTGGTAAAAGTAAACTCTCGGATTATTTTGCCGAATTCAATAAATATCAAACACCAAGTGAGTAATAATTAACACTTACCGAAAAGCATATCGAATGAATCATGTCCTTCTCTTGACAATTGCCTCAATAATCACTCAATCATTGTAAACTTTCGAAATCTTTCGAAAATTTATTTTTTTAGTTCATTGCGATAGATTCAATTCAATATGCCTTAGAGAAAATTGATTAAATATCTTTTTCCGAGAGAGCAGAAGAGAGAGACTATTCTTATGGCATTGCGTCTCTTTCAAGAGATAATTAACTTGCTTTTTTTTGAGGTTAGGTCAGATTTTCGATTCGATTCGACAGTCCTAACCGGATAAACGGGAATTTAAGTGAATGTATTATGAAATAATTCAAATCATTGTTTACCGTTCGTATTGGTGAAGAATAGAAATAGGACTTTGCAAAAGAGAATAGGGAATGGTACGAGTTCATCGTTTACGGAAATTTTCCATGAATTTTTCACAAGTTTGTTTTTATTTTTTAATATAATACGTCTCCAGTATACAGTTAGAAAAGTTAATTTTTCCCACGTGAACTATTTTACCCCCGTATGAATACACGTGTGAAACGTGCTTTCTGCTTCTAGATTCAAGTCATTTAAAATTAATAATTATAGGAACTGAACACAGAAAAAATTTTTTTATTTCATTATTACTATGCCCTGCTCCCTAGTGGTGGTGTGGTAGAAAGGAATATTAAGCAGATACATGCAACATACAGAAGGACTTGAGATAAAGCAACCTTTTATTGTATCGATTGATTGAGAATCGATTTGTCTGCCCGTGCCTGATGTCTGCCGACTTTCAACTTACAAGTCGCAACTTTTCAGATATTTTGATATTTGATGATATATTTGGTACACTGACATGTTTTGATTCAAGGACGAACGCCACTTTCCATAAAACACTTTATTTTGGAAAGTCGTTACTTGGATAACTGTAGTGTAATGCAAGACCCAATATATCATTTTTAATTGTTTTTCTAACAAGTTTTTTGAAAGTTTTTTTAATAAAATAATAGAATTGCGTTTTAATAGAGAAGTTTCGCTATGATTACACCTGGCACTAGGACTTCTATCGATGTGTCTTTTTTTAATTTCTTCAAGTGATAGGACCATGCATAGAAGAGATCAGACGCTCGCAACAAAGATTTTATAATTTATCAAATAGGGCAATGAGTTTAATATCAAAGAGTTTAAATTTCGATGAATACGATAAGTTGTTCATAGACATTGTTAATGATTACTTGCTAGGCCTCTCACATTATAGAGGCAAATTCTACTGACAATAATTGGCTTTGTTGCCACTATCGCTAATTAGAGCTCACATTTACTGCAAACGAGGCGACAATTAAGGACCTCATTTTGTTGGAACCAGAAGCATACATGATTCATCGCCCTTTGCTAGTGAGGAATTGCCCCCCAGGATGTCTAGAGCAGAACAAAGGATACGTCTCCGAATGATGAAACATGCAAAACAGCAATGATTATATAATCCGAAGAATGCAAACTATTGACTCGTTTTCGGCAACTTTGGAACGAATAACTTTCGCAAAGTCTACTAAACTCGTACGGCTTTTCTCCTAATTTTGTTTCGTTGTTGAAGTTTACAATTAAGTTATTGTGTAATTTTGAAACATATTTTATTGAACATAAATTTGGGGACTTGCCGGGCATGGGTTCGCAGCACAAGCTTAAGTTCACTATCTCTAAAATGTTCTACGTAGATGTTTTACTTTCCATGTCAATCTTTGTCACTATTAATTTTCAAGTAAAAAAAAAAATTTTGATCGATTTTGAATTATAGACAGTCCAAAATATATATGCTTTGTGGGGCCAATAATGCATATCTCTCAACTTTACAAATGAGAGAACACTCCTAGTGTATGCGCATCGAAAAAGCATATCCACTGTTGATAACCATTGCAAATACAATTACATAAGCAAATCAAAATAGCGCCTTCGAAATTCGATTAAGTTTAATATCTTCTTGTCTTCATTTTAGATAACTTTAAATATAGTAGGATTTTAAACGGGAAACCTTGCCTGATTTTGACAATTTCTTTCCAAAATGTCTAGCCAGTATGACATCCTTTTTGTTCTTCTTTTCCAACTGGCTAAGAATGTCTGCGGTTTTTGAACCTTGCTAGGCTTAGCTGACTGTTTCCACTTTTGTGCGGCCGCTATAACATCGCCCTTGGAAGATGCGTTCAAGTTCTTGTAGACTATACTTTGCGTGTAACGAGTTAAAAAGTCAGTTTTTAGAAAATATAGTTGTTTACGTACAACCTGTTGGCGTGTCGTTCGCCCACTTTGGGCCGTTTTCATTACAAATCTGTGTATGATAAATTCATTTCTGCGAGCAAGAAAATTAAACAGCCAGATATTACAGGCACCGACGGACAGACGGACATGTTAAGATCAATTCAGAATTTGATGTTGGTTAAAAAATATACCTGAGGCAGTCGATTCACAAATTTATGCTTATAAAGAATATATACCTGCCGTGTGGGATCTTCGAACCTTTCTTCTGCGTGCTGGAAACGTTTTGACAAACTGAATAAACTCCTCACGCCTTTGGCGATGGTTAATAAAAACTAAACATTTTACACAAGTGGTTTCGGTGTGTTCCGCGATTAATTAATAAATTTCGATGACGAAGGAAGTCAAAAGTCAAAGAGATCTAGCTATAGCTAGTATTAGGAAATAGCTTCAAAAAAAAAAAAAAATAAGCAAGCGACAGTGTAGTACCATAATGAAAACAGCTTAAAAAAGCGATATGCATATAAGCAATAAGTTGGTTATCGAAGACTTGACTTAAAGGCAAAGAAAACGTCTCTCTCTCTCTCTCCCCGCCTCTCTTTCTCTCTTATTTTAATATTGAATTTTAATATAATTACTTATCGATAATTTTCTTCTTTCTTTCTTAGGTGATGCAATAGTCGAGTCTGGAGATGATCCTGAAGTCATAAGAGCTAAATATTTCATACGTGATGAATTTTTGGTAAATAATAATTTCATTCAATAGTAAAAACGAGAAATGTAAAAAAAAAATTCTCATTTATTTTTATTTAGCGTATTTCTACTGCTAGTGGTGATGGCAAACATTACTGTTATCCGCATTTCACCTGTGCTGTAGATACCGAGAACATCAAGCGAGTATTTAATGATTGTCGAGATATAATTCAAAGAATGCACCTACGTCAGTATGAATTGTTATAGGTTTATTCTACAAGAAAACACTTAATAAAAGTAATGTGCAAATAATACAACTAACCAAAATGCATTTTTTAACTTTACTTCCCATACCGGCAATACATATACATGTATACATATATATATATATATATATATATATATACATAGCAATCACATTTTAAAAAAAAAAAGTTGTGTTTTTTCTTTAAAATCCAAAAAGAAATGAAACACAAATCTTTTCAGCCACTTCCATAAAAAAAATCATTTTTTAATTATTTTAATTGTATTGTTCTTAATTTGTTTGTTTGTTTTTTTTTTTTTTTTTTTTTTTTTTTGTAAAATAAATTATAATTTATAATAATTTATTTTATGCTTATTAAAAGAATGAAAAAAAAAGAGTATAAAAAAAAAATTATTTTAATTTTAAATACATTAAATACATAAATTTATTTGCTCTTTGTCTTTTTTTGTTTATTTGTTTACTCTAATTATTATTATTAAGGAATGAGAAAATTTATTGGTTTTTTAAGAAATCGTTACTCTCTCATAGCGATAGCGACCTCTTTTACGGAAATTAATTTGGTAAAGCATTTGGTTTTCTTGCAACGACTGTCAATGATCAAAATAAAAAGGTAGATTTTAAACAAGTTAACCAGAGATACTCTACTCTTGTGTAAATTACAATGAAAAAAAGAACGGCAAAGCCTTTAAATGAGGATTAGATGAATACTTTCCGCAAAGTTAACCTGATTTTCAAGTTTCCTTGTGTGGAATTTGTAAGAGTGCGTTCGTGATAGACCCGTCAATAATACTACGACGTACAAAGTAACTCGGAAGTTTATAACGATTTTTCTAGAATTTTAAATCTTGGTCCGGAGAAAGCATCTGAAATTTTTGGCTTGCGTTCAGCTCTCACTCACCCATTTGTATAGTTTTAACGACTTTAGACGCAAATGGTGTGAAAGGATTTTTGACTGAATTTCGATTTAAAAAGTTATAAATATTTGTATATATTTATAGAACATTATCATTAGGACGCTTTACTTTTGTTCGCTTACTTGATCTTTTTTTTAATTTTCATTATTTGATATCTTATTATGGAAGAGAGGATTAATTGGAGCCTTTGATCAAATACTTCTTACTCCCGCATAGAATCGGGAACGCCTTCAATAAACCTCCTTTAGCTGAAGGGCAGACGGAGGAGAGTTTTTGTAAAGATTTAAATTAACGGAAGCCGTTCTCAGATATTAGGAAAACCTGTGCGTTGTTCTTCAAGCATCTTTGGAATAATTGAAACTTGAAACCGATTTCTTATCATTTAAACATAGTGAGCAAATATCTCATGCCGTCGATGACAAAGATGAATTATTGTCGATCATAATTTCTTATATGCCAAAGTAGTTTGTATTTGTCTTTCCCTTTTGAAATATGTCTGAAATTCTCTTTCTTGTTTCTCATGTCGATCGATGATAATTAAATTTTTATTTTTAAAGAAATCTTTTTAAATAAAAGTTTACCTCCAACACTTACTTGTTTATGCAAAAACGAAGTAAAGGGGGTGAAACTGCTTTAAGGAAAAGGGTTATCCACCTACTACTGCATGAGGCCAATTTATAATATTGCGTATATGAAACGGGTATGGGTATCTATTGCTTAAGGAAGAGGCAGGGGCCTTTTTGAATTGAAATCAATCAAGTCGAACAATCCTTAACCTATAAAACGTGGAGGATTGTATAGGAAACGGTTCACTTTTTTTTCTTTTTTTTTTTTTTATTAAAAAAATAGATTTTGAATTAAAAGCAAGGAAGTGATAAAAATTAAAAATCCTAAAATTCGCAAAAGGTCTTATTTTTAAATCAAGTCTCCATCATTGCAACATTGCAATGCCAGTAAAAAAAAAAAAAAATATTCTACTTTTTCAAGGACGCTTCTTGATAAGCTTGGTAAATGTTTGTTATCCCTAGCTGAAGAAAATATAGACTTTAATGAACAATGATACACTCTTCGAATTGCCTTATCCTGTTAAAAAAAAAAAAAAAAAAACATTTTATCTAAAACAACACACTATTGTCATCACATTCTGTAAGATTTAATTATCAAATCTCCTACAATGTTGTGGCAAGGCTTCTCTCTAGTAGTTGTTATATCTTTCCTATCTTCTTTTCTTTTTTTTTTGTTTTCTCCTATCTCTTCTAAATAGATTTGAAAAGGTTTTGATGATTATTTTTCATTTTGTTTGGCTTAGGATATTCAAATATTTGGTATTGCCCATAATTTGGCAGTCTTATCGGCTGATGTTGAAAGTATAGAAAAATCATTGGGATGCCATCGGGCCGAGATCACTTTATCGCTATGTTCTCCCGCTACCACAGAAGGCAACGATAATGTTAGATTACCTTGAAGATCGGTTAAAACGATTTTATTATCATAGCCGCATGTCAGCAGATAATAAGCCGATGGTGAGAAACGTATAGATCTGTAAGAAAGAAAACAAAACCAAAAAAACAACAAAATTTTTACATATGGATTCAAATAACCCAAGCAGCAAACATAGTATCCTAACTAATTTTGCTTTTTAGAATGGATTTAGGTTAAACTAATTGAACTAACCTTATGTCGGCTGTATGAGGCTGAAAGCATTGAATTTGCCGATTCTTGCGTATATCATATAATACGCATGAACTGTCTTCATGTCCTGTTACCAATAGTCGGCCAGTTGGATCCACGCATACCGAAGTGACCGGCGAGCCCATCGAATCGTAATATGTTACGGGTAAAACCGTATTTGTTGATTCATTAATACGTATATCCCAAAAACGTACCGTCTTATCCTGCAATAAATAAGAAATTGATAAATTGATTGATTGGTATAAAGAGGGGCGGGTCTCATTGATTCATACACGATATATTATGTATGTAGAGGAAGACGTAAAAGTTTTCAAGATAAAATCATAAGCAAGGATTTGCCTCTTCCTCTTCGTGATACCTACGACTCTACGACTAGCGGAGCAAGAATTAAAGAGTGTTCATTAGAAGTTAACAAGACGTGCGCATAGAGAGCCATGCCTCTAATTATAACGTAAAGCGTACTCCTGCCTTTTTTAAATTATACTTCTTTTCGTCCTGTACTTTCTATGCAGAAAGAATGTCCCTACGTCGCAGAAGAAAAGTGCCTTTAGAGTGAATACAAAGCCAAGACAAAAGGAGCAGATAACGAAAAGTTACTGTATTTTTCTTTAAAACGAGTAAAGGGATGAAACGACCGATTTGTCTTCTTGTTTTTTAAGCCTTTTCTCAACGCAAAAAGAGTAAGTAGCAATGTGCAGGGAATGTAAAGTAGAAGGAACGGCGCCAAGAAATAATAGTAGAGATCACTAGAGACTCTGGATCATTATCAAATTCCGACTCGATTTAAGCATATTTGACGATCCGCTTGCCATATACATGCGTGTATCAAATATTCAGCCAGACACAAAAATTAATATATGAATGAAATTTGCCGAAAACATTGGAAGTTCTTGCAGATAGGCTGGTGCTGGAAATGGTCTAAATAGCTTAATAGGTACCTTCACGGTTTTTGTTCCCTACTACGACACTACACAAGAGATCCCGCGGACACAGCGATAAAGTTTTCTTGCATACTTTATGGGTAGCCTTAAATCAGCCATTCTCGTCCGATATTGTAGGATATGAAAATTTCAATTTTTTGTTTTTTTTAAATAAAAGTGATCGATATAAGAGATTCAACCGTAGCCGCTTATAATCTTCCTAACAGATTTTTTTAAAAGTTGTTTCGAAACCGCATTAGAAGTCCTTTACATGTTTACCATCACCACGATTTTAAAACCTGACTTGAACAAATTAGCTCTTATTGACGAGTATATTCGTAATGGAAATATTTCGTATTATGACGAGTGCGAAACACATTTTAAGTTCACTTTTCAAGAAGAGGTCACGTCGCGTCTTGTGCCAATTTCTCGTTATTTACTACGATACTATAAACCACGCCCCCGACTACATCTCATCAAAGACGTAGACTTTTATTATAAGAGATATACTAATGGTATATTTTACCTGAGAGCCTGAAACGAACGAGTTATTTTCCCAGCTATATATGGAATATATATGTCCGCTATGTCCGGCAAAATTTTGAAAGGGAGTTAAAGCGGCACAATCTGTTATAAATATTTTGCAACTGCCAGCACCTCCGCTTATCAATAAACGTTTTTCATTGCAATTATCTTCTACGAAACAGAGATCTCTCACAGTGCCGTCGTGCATAGTCAATTCAATTTCCCGTCCCTCCAATTGTCTATTTTCAGTACTGTATTGCATTATTTTAATCGTTTTATCATTCGAGCCGGTGGCAATATATTTGCCATCTTTCGACCAAGCTGTACAATATATCGAACCTTTATGATGTTTGGTACGTTTAAATATCACCGTTGGCTGATGTGATGTATGATTTTTACTGAAATTCAAAAAAAAAAATTCCAATTTAATTTAAAGTATAATTATAATTATAATAATTAAGTAGCTGACCTGGTAATTTCACATGGTGGCGGATACAAGCAGATTCTTAAAGTTTTCGAATTAGAACCGACCGCATAGATCTTACCATCGGGATGAAATTCAGCGCAACGTATCGCCTGGACATCGCTCAGCGTATTAATAGCGATAAAACACAAAGGAGTTTTGCTTGACTGTAAATAAAATAATGATAAGAAAGTCTTGTCATTGAATCTTTTATTTGGTTTTTCCATTTTTTTTGTTTTTTTTTTTTTTTTTGTTTTCAAGTGAAAAATGCGTTTCATTGTTTTTTTCTTTTTTTCTTTTTTTTTTTTACTGTGAACTAACGGTTATTTGTTTCTATTACTCTTCTCTTGCTAGAGTAGTAGTATATATGTCTTTACATGAATCCGCGAATTGCATCAGAGAAATCTTAAACAGATGAAAAAAAAAAACTGTAAAATTTCTAATTAGGTACACAAGCGTCTTTATTAGAATATAGAATGCTCATGCGCACACAAACACATGTTTAACTATTGCACTCTTTTTACACCGACCACGATCGTTAAGAATTTTCTTTTTTTTTTCTTTGGTTTTGCTGCTTAAAGCAAAACCTTTAATTTTGTTACCTTCATATTTTGATAAGAACCTTTCTCAGCCAACATTGCGACAGCTATGTGACATTACTTCACTTTATTTTAATAAATAAATTTTCTTCTATTTTGCAATATGGTTTCTCCTTTTTGGCTATGAGAAGCTTTTCTTTCTTCTTTTTTTTTTTTTTTTTATTTATTTTTTTTTTTTTTTTAAAAAAATTTTTTTTTTTTTTTTTTTTTAATCCACCGAAATATGGTAACATGTTTGGTTTCTTCCTTTTTTTTTTTTTTTCTTTTTTTATTTAAAGAAACAAGTGTTTCTCCGAAAGCAAGTAGCGTGAAAACCACAAGAGCTGAAAACGGGTTCTGACTTAAAACATATTCCGTCCACAATGTAAACATGAAAAACTTTTGTAATGCACTTTATGAAAAATGTTAGCTTCACGTAGACAATTAGTTCATTTTATTTTGTTACTCGAGTCAAGAGTTAATATTGCGAACTTCTCATTCGGGCAATTTCTCTCGGGCAGCCCTGATTTGCAGAAAGAAAAAAAAAAAAATAATAAAAAGTCATTTAAAAATTTTTAGATTTTTATTATTATTGATATTAATATCATCATAATTTTTTTAAACTAATGAAATAAATCTTAGACTAAAGGTAACCATGTAAAAACGTTATAATCGGGCTTATGCCCCACTTTGTCTAATAGAATTCTTATTTTTGCAATATTGCGTAAAGATATTAAAACCCCGACTTTTCTGCCCTATAACGTCTCAATTTTCCTAAATATACTTATGTAGAGTAGGATTCGAAAAGTTGGGCTAGCTGGTCCAAATATATCAAAGTGATTTAATGCAATTTTAATCACAAAATATAAAAACTTTCATTTGTCTGTCCTATAATGTTTCAAATTTTGTGAAAATCTTTATTTAGGGTAGGATTCAAAAAATAGGCCTACTTAATCCAAATTTAGTAGAGTTAACATTTATATCAAATTACTATTATGAATCAATATTCATCACAATATATTAAAGTTTCGCTCTTTCTGCTCTATAACATATGGTAGGATGGAAAAAATCGGCCTAGTTGATCCATATTTGGTAGAGTTACCATTTACAACAAATTATTATTATGAATCAATTTTGCACAACAAGTATTAAATTTTGACTTTTTTGCCCTATAAACGATCAATTTTCGTGAAAATCTATATGTGGTAGAGCAGGGTCCAAAAGGCAGGCCTACGGGGTCCAAATTTGGTAGACCCCATTTTTTGTTTTTAAATTATTATTAAGATATGATTTTCATCATGAAGCTTTGAAAATCAAACCCTTTTTTTCTCATAGGACGTCCAGTTTTCACTAGATGAGAAGGGATTCAAAAAATTGCCCCTGCCGGTCCAAAGCTTTCACACCAATTTGGAATGCCAAAAAACTACTATTAAGCAACTTTTGCCGAGAAATTTTGAAAATTGTAATTTTTCCGCATATAAGAACTTTTCAGGATAGCGCGTTATATGGGAATTGGCCGAAAAAGCGGATCGATCCGAAACACATTCAATAGCGGTTGTTCTTGAATCTAAATGTTTGAAAAATTGATGCCTATAGATAGAACACAAAAACAAGACAGTCTTAGTAAATTCTTCATTAATATTGTCATTAAATGCTTCGATAAAATATTCTTTACATTATTTGAAGATATTAAAAATATTTCACGAAGTAAAGGTTGCCGAAAGTGATTTAAAAGAGTCTACTAAAGGCTGGATTCGTATGCAATGCACTTATGCTTTCAAGACCGAAGATGTGGCGAACGGTCTCTTAAATGTCAAACAATATAAGTAAGAGTGCTTGGAAGGCGAAAGAGAAAGACACCGCTCTCTCAATTGCTTTATTTTATTGTCCTTCATCCTCCTCACACCTTCTAGTCTTCCTATCCTGTGCTATCGAAACAGTTTTATCCCGCCCTCTAGCCCTCTTTCGAAATCTTAAGATCGTGAATTTATACATGTGGTATGTGGTCAATATTTGGCTCCCAAACTGGGAAAATCTATCTTTAACCGAATGCGGAAATTTACGGTCTTTGCAAATATCTGAGAAAAACCCAATTTCCCAGTAATATTAGTGGCTTAAAACTGCATCCAAATTTACAAGCTATCGATTTTACGCCATTTCCAGAACTGGCCATCTCTGCGATCAATTCGACACCTCTCTGATTGTGGAAAATTTGGCGATTGATTGTGATTAGCAATTGATTTCAACAAGTCCCAACTGATAACATCGCACAAGTGACAAAGGACTCGAGGTAGATTAAAGCGTCCCCAATAAATCTTAGACTACCAACAGTATGAGTTACTCTAGAGGTTAGATTAAAACGATATGTCTGTGCTCCGAGTCTTATGAGCTGCAAGCATCTGGTATGGCGGGCCAAGGACTCATAGGGATCAGTTAGACGAAACGGGTAAATTAAATCGTCGACGGTATACTTAAATCTTTGTTGCTTTACTTAAGTAAACGTTGAGATTTTTCTTTTGTCATGGCTTTCATAGGCCCGTGTTATCTTCGAATTGATATCAACTAGATTTTCCGAATGAATGAAAAAACATCGGCTAAAGCCGATTGTGGATCACAGAATCCCGGCAACAGCAAGCATTATTGCAACCATATTTCTAATTATGTAACTGTGTCTGATGTTTTGTCCCGTTCGTTCGCCACGGAAAGGAAAAGCAAATTCAATTAAAAATGTAACGAATAACGGTGACCGTACGGTCGTCACTACACTAAACTAGATCTGTGGGCTTTTGTGTAAATTTTGTGTTTGGCTTTGTTTTAATTTGCCACAACACATAAGGTTAATGTTAACATTAAAGGCATGTCGAATAAAAATTAATTTGATTTCGTTTCAAATCCACTGAATGATTCATGTAATTAATTAACTGACCTGCGAATGGGAAGTTGGTTTCTAGTAGATAGATGAAAGAAAGTGTATGCGATCATGCAGATATAATTTCCATACATAACTAGTAACTTATCATATGTAAGGACATTCTAAGTAATGAAGTTTTCTTCGCATTTGTCCAACATCCTACTGGCGATCAAAAACTAAGGTCAACTTGTTTATAATATAAAATGAATACTGAATTAATGTTTCAAATTTTTATTCATTTAACAATTCATTTTCAAAGCAAATTGCTGTGCGGTATTTTTGTTTTATTTGTATAATTTTTTGAAGATATATATGTGGGTGCGTTTATTACTAAAAGTGGCGAGCGCAAATCCCGGCGGGAGGGTAGTTATGTCGTCTTTTTGGGGCTTCCTTACCCTCCGCTTCAGCTGCTTCCCTTTCGGCTTTGCGAGCGGGAGAATGAGCGATTGCGTGCTTGCGGGCATTACGACGGCGGCCACGCGCATTACGGCCATAGTAGGCGCTCGGCCCAGTCCTATCCTCTTCTTCGTCATAAGGATCACTTCATAAGTCTATGGCGCGCTTACATTTCAAAGTATTCCGGAGGTCAGCTGTGAACACCTCCCCCACGATCCTGTTGAACTCCTCCCTCGGCTTGCCGGTTTCGCACAGACTTCTCACAGCTTTATAAATGTCTTCAACCGGTGTTTCTGGAAATTTAAATCTTTTTTTATTTTAATTCTTGAAACAATACTAAACTTTGTTCTTTCACTTACCTTTCCGAGTGTGCGACAAATGAATAAAAATTTGAAAAATCTAAAAACCTGAAAAAACAAAATTCAAAGAAGATGTGATTAGAAAAAAACTTTTTCAAATATCGACACAAGTGTTTCTTTTCAAAAATCGAAACAGGTGTCGTTTTATGCCGGGGTTGAACTACGTGTACTATACGCCAGCTAAAAGGTATAGGAAATCTTAGGATCTAGACATATATATAGCGAATTTAGTTAGCATATAATTTATTAAGTTCGTAAGATGACGTAAAGATGTAGAATGACACTAACAAGTGCATATGATGTTTAGTTGGTGTCCATCTTCAAATGGAACGTGTCATAGTTCCATGGGATTCCGCAAACTACAGTTGTTGAGTGACTATATACACAAAGGTCAGAATTTTTCCATTGTTTTAGTAAAATGAAGCCAAGATGACTAAAACAACGCTAAGATATGGATTTGCCAATTGTGGCTACATCTGTGTGTCATCGTACGAATTTAATGTGTGAAATGTCATATGTGTTGGATACATTTGCAAAAGACTAAAGATAGAATTGGGAAAATGCACGGTTTGTTGCTGTTAAACCCACCAAAAAAATGAACAGCGGTAATGCTATTTAATACTAAAGCAGTCCTTGATGCAGTCTTGCCTGGAGGACTAGTCTTTGAAACGATTCTCTATAGAGCTTGAAGAAGCAACAAAAGGCTTCATAACTTCTCGGTCTTTTACATTGGTTGACACTGTTAGGATTGTCGCTTTATAACGACTGGTCATCCCCTTGGGTGGTCCCACCTTTCCCTTTATTTCTGATCATCATCAATTTCTCTATTTCTGCCGGGGATGCAGCTCTAAAATTATGGCGAATGCAGCGTTGGCAGGCACAACTGTTAAAGAACCCAAAGCGATATACTTTACCAGTAAACGCACGGACGATTATATCTCGCATGTCTATATAATAATTAATAAAAATACTGTCCAGTGGGAACGAAAAGTCAAAAATTTAGGATTTGCTTTTGATTTCAAGATGAAGGTTAAAGACGATAAACAGCGTATAATTGATAAAGTGAATCGTGTTCTATACCCTTTTATAAATCGGAAGTCTAGCCTAAGCATTCATTACATGTTCCGCCATTTGTGGTGCTAGGCATATTAGCTTTGTGTGGACGTAGGTAAAACCCAGATAAGCTTAACATAGCCTCCTTTATTATCTATACGATCTAAGCTTGTCTGTTCTTCTGTCCGCCCATGTACTTTTGTGTTCAGCATACCCGTCGCAACTTTCCAAATATTTTAAAGAAATTTGATATACTGACATGCTTTGGCCCAAGGGCGAACGCTTTTGAAAATGGTTCAGATAGATCCACTTTTTCGAAAAAAATTGCAAATTTCAAAATTTCTCGCTAAAATTCGCTGATTAATAGTATTTCGACATTCTAAATTGGTATGAAAAATTTAGTTCGCCTGGGTTGATTTTTTGAACCCG